CTTCACATGTCCACAAATTAAGAATTGTCGAGCTCATTTTTTTGCCGTCTTGTGTTAAATGAAGTGAGAAAAATGGCACTGTTACTGCGACTGTCATTTTTTCGGAAGCCGAGGGTCCTCCTTGGAGGTCCACCTATCGTCTCTACTTTCACCTTCTCGGGTAGGGGAGCCCTTGGCCGGTGACCACAGCTTGTCGGCCTCAAGTCGAGTCAAGTCTCCGTCACAGGAGGCTGCCTGAGGAATGGGTGACACATCTCGGAGCCAGACCCACGGAGCAGGGATTCCAGGCGGGCAGGTGTTTCATTTTGTTGGATTTTTTAAAAATGTGTTTGTTTCATTTTGGATGCAAAACAGAACCGTGAGAGGGTTCTGGGGACAAACGAGTTCCCAAGACCTCTTATCCCTGGAAATGTTTAGGCAGAAGCCGAACAATGACTGGGAAGCGAGGCTGGACTAGATCCCTGTTTCCCAACCCGGAGTGAATACAATGGTATTTATTTGTTCTGGGGGTGCAGAGACCCCTCCTTGATCCTAAATCACACAGTCCCAGTCGTCCTTCCCGATTCTCTTTCAGGCCTTTGGGTTGCAGGTAAAACAGAGTCTTGTTGGTGCTCGCGGGCATTAACACCTCAACAACACCTGCAGCCCCGCTCAGGTCCCAGCCAACAGTATCCTCTAGACTTCCACCGCGGTTTATTATCTCCTGTTATCATCTCCGTCGCAAGACAAGGAACAGGGGGCATCCATTTCCCATAACAACCTGAGGCACTAGAAGAAGTGTATGTTGATGTAAAGAATATTTTCAGTAAGTGATGGAGATGCCATGACTCAAAAAAATCAGATTTGGGATCATGTTCTTAAAATCAATCAAACTGTCTCTTTTCTGCTGGGAGGACAGAGGACCCGCCAGACTCCCTCCCTTCGAGTTGAAATTGGCATTTACTTATATCGCGTGATTTAAGCGGTGCAGGGAAGCTTCCCCCTCCCTGCCCAACATCCAAACATACATCTTCTTGGAGACGATACCTTTCTGTTTGCGTATCCCGGTGCCCAGCTGGGTGTCTGGCATGAAGGAGTGAATGTTGGAAGATAAACGTCACGCATGTCGTAACCCTGCCTCCAGTGCGCCTTACCCGGACACGGCCATTCCTTCCACTGCTGCTGCTGACGGCCCCCCACCAACCTCTTACTTACAATTTGCCCAACCCCACGGTGATTGCTTGTCAAAAGTGAAGACCCTCCGCCCCTTCCAGAAAGCTGGAGACGCAAAGGACTTCCCTTTTGGTGAGTGGTCGGGAGGAATGCTCAGTTAGAATGAGAAAAGGAGAAGGCACTAGTTTTCTGAGAAGATTTGGGAGTCTAGGGGAGGTGGTAACTATGACAGCCCAGCATGGCCTGAAACGAGATTTAATTATTATCTAGGGAATTTAATCAGACACGGCCAGCCAAACCAACTCATGTTGCTGGCATGAAATATCTCGTTGGGCTGTCTATCCTGACCAAATCAATAGGAATGTGTGCCAAACTCCTATTTTATTGTGGTGGATTGGCACAGACGTACTCTTCTTGTTTAACAAAAAGTTACAAATGCAGCCATGGGGCTTTCTCCCAGGCCTCTCTGGCAGCTTCTGGAAGGCTCACACGCACCACCGATGCTTTCTCGACTCTCAGGTCCAGGAAGAAGGGAACATGGCTGGCAGGGGCTTCAGAGCCACAGCTCGAACACGGTGTTTCAGGTACAGACACCTAGCTCAGGTGTCTCAGAGCTTAAATGTGACTTTAGTACCATGAAATGGACAGAATCTTCTAAGACCAAATGCCTAATCCAAGAAATGCGATAAGGGTTTCATTCATGTCTGTGTCTGTCAGCACGCACCCTGGGGCTTTGGAACTTCAGTGCACCATGCCTGTCGAGCACTGTCCTACTGGGAAATACATTCTGTGAAGGTGTGACCTCTGAGTTCTTACTCTGGCGTTCCTGTCCGGTGCCAAAAAAGACCAGCTTAGCTATGATGCAGCGTGGTGAAACCCAGAGGGCGGAGGGGAGAGGTCTTCCAATGGCTGTTTGTTTTGAGAGCAATAAGCGTGGTGTCCGATAGCTGTTCTGTGTTGAGTTAAGCTCTGACACGGACCTGTCAACAGTGGGAAAGGCGACATACGAAACCCCGCACGAGCCTGGCGGGGGCACACGTTTCTCGGTTCCTCAGCCCTGACACTCCAACCCGCGCCCTGACATTGGCAGCCTGAGGGATGCACTAGGTCTGCAGACGTGCTCTGTTTCGCAGACGTGGTCTGCAGTGCCGTGTTCTGTTCACTGTATCAGCATGTGAACATCTAGAGGTTCTTTCAAAGTTCTGGGTTTCTGGATCCTCTTGAAAAAATGAGAAGACTCGGTCCTTGTTGGCGCATGGAAACATTTGGCCGGAGCTGATCATTTTCAGGTCACAAGAGTCTCCTTGCCTCCCTGTGTCTACTCTGTTCTGCAAGCTGGGTCACCTTTCACTTATCATCACACTTGTCCATGTCACTTTTCCTGCTGAAGAGAAATATTCCCCTGTACCCATGACTCTAGCAAAGGAGGAAAACAAACAGTGGCCTGAAATGACAGTTTCATATATAGAGGTCACCTGCTTGGCCACTGGAGGCATCTGAGTTTGCTTTTCCACTCTACAATAGTGAACCCCGACTTTGACCCTCTCTGGGGCAACGCATTTGCTAGTGACATCTCCCAACATACCCAGGGATCCTCCAGGATCTGTGTAATTTGCAGAAATACCCTTCCTTCTCATTCTGCCTGGGTCACACCCCACTTTGGTTTAGAATCACTGAACTTACAACTTTGAAGGGAATTCTGATTGAATCAACCATGCATCCCAATCAATCATAAGTGTCTAAATTGCTGTGTAGCTTGGAAATTACTCCTTTGAGACCAACACCTTAAAAAGACCTTTGGCAAACAAAATAATTACGCCCCTTGTCTTAACACAGTCCTGGAAAGGAGCTGATACTCTCTTAATGGTCCCAAGCGACAGCATTCCCAACTTGGGATTAGGTTACTTTTTAGAAGCTCATTTCATAGTGGTTGTTTGCAGCTTATAATTCCTTTTTCTTTAACAACAATGCTATAAACATTGATGACTTCTCTGAGGTTTGCCCACAAATTTTCTTTTAACCACGTGAAAGGGATTGCATCACAGTAGTTTTTCCTGCAAAAGTTACTCAGTGAACTCTCTTATTCCTTCAAAAAACATAGTGTGTTAAGTTTTAGAAAGCACCAGGAAATCCCACTGCAAGGTAACCATTAACCAGGATTGCTACTAAAGGGAAGTGTTAATGACATTTCCTCAAATGATACCTAATGAGACCTTTCCTCTTATAGGGGGTAACATGGGGTTTTTAGCACAATTACCAGAGAGTGGAAACCTCTAAACACAGACCCTCACCCTTGAAGAGATAGGATAAAGAATCCAGGACCCCCTCTGTTTGCATTCCGGAGAAGTGCAGGGACTCCATTTAGGTGCCAGCCGTGGGATGGTGAAGCGGGACTTCCTACTCCACAAAGAATGGTGCTGTGAGTTCTGTCCTCTAATTGCTTCCCACAAAGAACTTGTTTCCCAGTAAAATGGCAGCATATGGCTAATAAAATGAGGTTGTGCCCTCACATCAGCATTAATCTAGCCCCTGTGATAAGATAAGAACTGAGGCTGCAATGGGCCAGGCCAGTTTCAAACACCAGTGTCCCCCCACACCCACCTCCTGTCTGCACAATTGTTTCATGGTCAGTTCTTCCCCTCGTGCGAGCTTCCTGTACATGCAATCACTTGTTTAAAGACCTGGGCAAGTGGAAGCCAGCAGCCAGGCATTAAGGAAAAATCTGACATAGTTTCTGTCCAAGTAATAGCCAGTCCCCTAAGGCATGAAGCATACCTAGACTTTTGCTCCATGACTTTCGAGTGGTACTATGGAGTTCTTACTGTGCACAGGTCTTGAAAGGAGGGCATACATATCCTTGAGGACTCCCTGCGAGGGGAGGAGATGTGCAGAGCCGGCTCACAGAGGTGGAGCGGCTTGCCTAAGGCGGGGACAGTGAGCCAAAGGTGGGGGATAGAGCAGGGTCGGTAGTCCCTGAGGTCTGGGCTCTGGCTCCAGATGCAGAAACCAGCCTGCTGGCATTCCTCCTCTAACCCGGAGGTGGGCTGTGGGGAAGGAGAAGAGTGGGCAGAAAGGAGCATACAGGTACATTTTCCTGCAACTTCTCGGCTCCGTTTGTGTTCAGCGATCACACACACACACACGACTAACCATGTCCCACGCAGGCATAAACTGTTATCTTGTTGTCATAGAAAACAGAATCCTATCCTGCCAAGTTTGCCCTCGTTGAAAATCCGAGTGTCAGCTGACAAAGCATCAGGATGGGAAAATCTCCCACCCCCTCCCCCTTCTCCCACAGGCGTAAAAGGTAATGGGGGTGGGGGTGGGGGGGACAACTGGAGAAGGACATGAAATCATGCGGGTTCACCAGGAAAAGGCAGTGTTGGTGGCAGCAGAGTTGGTGAGTGTGTTGTGAGCATTACCTCTGGATGAGGCTTCCAAGAAGGCTCCCGCTCAAGTCCTGGTGGCTCTGAGAACAAGCATTCTTGCATCAATAGCTAATAGGCTGTCCAACCAGATGCTATCTGGGTGGGATGAGAGGGTGAGAAAACAGACCTGTTGTACGCTGTTGTCAACCGGATCGCTGTGGTCAGAGAAGGCGGGTAGTGTGGTGTTTAGCAGGGTGCCTCTTTCGTACGGAGGCAGACCAGATTACATATTTGTTTAAATGCTTCCTCTTGTGATTGGTAAAATACAAGTTATTATCATTCATGCATTACTAAAGCTGCCTTTCCATCATTTTGAAGGGACTTTTTTTTTCTAGAACAGAGCATGCATCCAGCAGAAACCTAAAGCTCTCGTTTTCCTAAGCAATCTTCGAGCACACTTATAACAGAACTGCCTGGTACCTGTGACGAGACTGGAGACGATGAGAGGCAGCACCAGCATCTGCAGCATGCGCATCAGGAGCTCCCCGGGGAAGGAGAAGTACTTCACCTCCCGGTAGCTCATTCTGTATGGTCGGAGCGCAAATCCAAGGATCGTACCTGAGGGGGGAAAAGAAGAAAAGTTGAGTCTTTTTTGAAACTGAAGTGACAGTCCTAGAAGAATGAGCACAATGCTTGCCCGGGGACCGTGCCTGTCCGACAAAAGAGTCGATTTATTTAAGCAACAGATATCTGTGCTGTTTGCAGAGGAAGGGGTTGCCTTCGTTATCAGTCAGACTGGAGGGGTCTGGCTGAGTCCAGGGCTCAAGTAGAACTTAGAGGGGAAAAAAACCCCTACTTTTCCTGGTTTTAGCAAATGAAAAACTTCTTTGCCTAACTTGAATGCAGTGGAATCAATTTTGACATAGCTCAGTACAGAGTTCCCAAGATCGGGACATCACTACAGAGAATGATGTATCTCTGAACAAGGCAATACACAGCAATCAAGGCCTTGTTATAATGAAGATCCTTCATACCAGTGGGTGTTAGAACAGCTGGCATGAACACTTCTAAAGGGTAGTATCATTTTATTTTTTTTCCAATTAAAAAAAACTCTTCTTATTCACACTGCTAATCCATCTTCATCATTTCCCTCCCTGCACACCCCATTTTCTGTCTTCATGGTCTCAGTGTTGCCTTGGCAACTGTATTGTACAGACTTGTTAGCTGCTGGCAAGAGAAGACTGCAAAATGGGCAGAGACTTTTCCCCAAAAATTTTCTCTAAAAACTTAGGGGAAATTAGGGGAAAGAAAAAGCAATTTTCTCTTTAATTATCCTTCTGCTCTTGGAAATTTAAAAAATATTTTTAAAATAATAACTTTATATGTAAATCAAATTATGCAAGCTATCTTTGGAAATGTTTGGAAATTAACAAAGGTATTGAATACGTGTACTCCTTCTCCTATTTCCCTGATTTGCTTTCCTTGCCCTAGAAAATTTAGTTATTCCCTTATTGTAAATATATTCAAATTTTTTTTGGCACAGCTGTTACTAAAATGTGTGTTATAGAGAAGTATTGAGTTGTCTAGAAGGTACTGGTTAGGGGATGGAGAGAGAATACTGGGTAAACACAAAGCTATTCCAAAGAATGCAAACTGTCCTTTAAGGAAACTGAACAATCCCAACTTCTTATGAAATGGGACACAAGTTCATTTCAATTGTCACTGCAACTCCAATGTCAGTTCTTGGGCCACAGCAACCATGAAGTATCTATGTTTTGATTACATACTGTGACACTCCAGTTAAGGGTCTGATCTATGTGACTAGAAAATCTAGTTGACCCAGTTTTCAGGACCTTTAGGAAAATTCTGCTCCCTGCCCCCCAATGTAACAGTACTACATTCAAGAGAGCAAAGTTCATTTGGAAAATGTAGAAAAGTGTCGCAAAAGTCTGCCCGTATTGGTTCTACCACTTAAACAGCAAATACCTAATGTTTCACTGAGCTCTAAGTATATTCCAAACACTGTTGGCAGTACTTTACTTGTGTTAGAAAATTTAATCCTCACAAAAAATCCTGGAGGTAAGTACTGTGTAATCACCAACTTAATGGTGGAGAAATCTCATCACAGTGAACTTGAAACTTGCCCAGTTCCAATCGCTACTCAATATCAAAGTCAAGTAGCTACTCAAGTGGCAGAGCTGGGATTCAAACCCAGGGCGTTTGGACTCAGGTCTCACATTCTGGACCACCTCACACACTTCCTACCTCTCCAAGCAGGGGAAAGACAACCACTGTTAGTGCCTCTGTGAGTTTCTTTCCAGAATGTTCCATGGGAATCATGTGCAATACACTTTTCCATGTATGGTCATGATCAACTTCAACCTCATGACATCAGGCCCAATGATTGTATTAAAATTTACTTGATACTTTGTTGTTGAACAGTTAGGCTGTTAGGCATTTTTCTTTTCTTTTTTTTTTCCAGATTTTATTTATTTATTTTTAGAGAGGGAAGGGAGGGAGAGAGAGAGAGAGAGAGAAACATCAATGTGCGGTTGCTGGGGGCCGTGGCCTGCAACCCAGGCATGTACCCTGGCTGGGAATCGAACCTGCAATACCTGGTTCACAGCCTGCGCTCAATCCAGGGCCATTTTTCATCTTTGTAAAGAACACCATGATGAATACATATAGGCTGTTTTATATCTAGGAATATATATTTTTAGTGTAGTTTAGAGAAAGGGAACCAGCGAATTAACGAATATGGCCTCCCCAGTTCATGTTATCCAGTTGCTTTCCCAGTAGGTTGCCACAGCCGTTTAGGGCTCCATTAGTGAATGAGAAGACTTTATTTCCTATACCTCAGAAGCTAGGTGTATTATCACAAAAAATTGTTAAAACAAGCAAAATTTATAAGTGTGATGAGTAAACAGAATGCATTTTTGTTTTCCTTTGAATTCACTTGCTGTCTAACAATGTTGACCATTTCTCCTAATTCTATCTTCCCCAAATGTTTTCTAAACCCAAATAATTTGTTTATATGTGTATATATGTATTTGGTATAGGTTCTTTATATAATCAAGATAATTACCCTTTGCCTATGTATAAAATATTTGCTAAAACTATTATCCTAACTTGCCTGCTATATATTACTATTTTAAAATATACAGGTATTTTTTCACTTTCATTAAATAATATCAGTGTACCTTTTTTATTAGATGATTTCTTCAAGAGCTATAAATGGCCCTGGCTGGTGTAGCTCAGTGGATTGAGCACAGGCCTGCAAACCAAAGGGTCGCCTGTTCAATTCCCAGTTGGGGCACATGCCTAGGTTACGGGCCAGGTGCCCAGTTGTGGGCATGTAAGGGGCAACCACACATTGATGTTTCTCTCCCTGTCTTTCTCCTTCCCTTCCCCTCCCTCTAAAAAATAAACAAAATCTTTTAAAAAAGAGAGAGAGCTATAAATGCCTGACTGGGTAGCAAAAGGCTACAGGTTCAATTCATGGTCAGGGCACATACCTAGGTTGGCAGTTTGATCCCCAGGCGGAAAAGAGTTATAAATTTTAGTGTCTCCCCCCTCCCAAATTTAATAAATCTTTAACTAATTTTCCCTTTTTGATGGTCTGCTTGCTTTAACATACTTAACTTGTAATCTTCCTGAACTTGGTCTAGGTACGGCATTGAAGTCTGAGTTACAGTGAGCGTATTCAACATGGCACCACGGAAATTATATGAGGCTCTGCTTATACCTGGGTCTTCCCTGCTTGTTCATACAAGGCCAAGTCACAGTGAGATAAGTGCTTCACCTTATAGCAAGTAAATCAATAAAGGTGTATAAATTTTACTTTACTTCTAGTCAAATGTAATTTCACTGGAGTTGATTGTTTTCTGACCTTTATTTAAAAGCATTTAAACTTCCGTCATTCAATCATAACAAAAAAAAAATATGCACAGGAAACACAAGAAGCTCATTTTGGCCAGTTGGAATCTGAGCTATTCAAGCTATTAGGAATTTTCGATATCCTCCAAGTAACAATTTAAGACAGGTTTGGTTTTATAAATTCATCTCTATGTTGGCTATTTCTAGAAATGTATTGATTTGTATGCAACATTTCCAGGGGTGGATAGGATCCAGGCTAGTTCAGTAAAACTATTTAAGTTATAACTTAGAAAAAAATGGATAGAATAGCTGCTCTATTAGTCATTCAGAGTCTAGGAGCAAGAGCTAAGTCAGTGTGGATGGAGGGGGGGATTATTCTTTGTCACACTAGGGGCACCTGATCCCGTCCCCCAAGTCTCGCCTTTGCCCACACTGACCCTACTCTCCTCTCTCAACAGCACCGGCTGTGTGTGCACCTCCTTCCTTCCTTGGGTGCTCCATGCACCTCCTCTCCTCGCCCTTCAGCAAACCCCATGTTGGCTCAGGGCAACGACTTTTCATCCCAGTCTTAGAGCAAAAGGCGGCCAGCTCCGTGAACGGTGCTGGGCAACGTGGGAGTGACGACGTCTCTTAAATATCTAACAGAGCAACAGCAAGCCGGTCAGGGAGCCAAAGGCTCAAGGGGTGGTGATATTTTCCTTCTGTCTCCTTCCAAGGAGACAAGCTGGTCTTGCTTGGGAGCACAGCCCTGACACCGCTGACTCTAGAATGTCTTCGTTTCTTTACATTCTCCAATGTGGAACCCTCATTTTCTAAAAGCTCCTATTCGTAGTAGCAGTGGCAGAGGAGACATCACTTATTTATAAGGGATAGTTCCAGTCAAATGCTTTGAAGACAGGAGCTGTTTAGAGAGTAGTAAACAATGTTAATACTTTAAAGGAGCTTTTTCCCTGACTGTGCTTTTGGCCTGTTTACTATCTCTGGGTTTACCAGGTGAGCCCTGTCCACTCCAGGGGAAGAGATCATGTTGGGGAGGGAAAATAAGGCCTTATTGAGGCCTTACTATGGGTTAGTGGTGGCCTGATCCTCCTCGCCCCTTTAGCAGGTAGATATTGTTGCATCCGTTTGCAACATGAGGGCACTGATGCTCAGACATTAGTTAACTTGCTCAAGGGTACGGAGCTCCTAAGTGGGGATTCTAAACAAAGCCTTCTACTCCACTTCAGTGCCTCTCAGACACAAACATATCCTCGTAGCCTGGGCCCCAGAACAATTCTCAAACGAGCCTGACTCCTGGGTCCCCAGCATCTCTGACCCCTAAACTGTGGAAGCATTGGAGGAATGATCTCATCTCTGCTGGAGGCGACCCGGAGGCACCCAGCACAACCTGGGACCCATCACAGCTCCTACACACACGGACTTCAGCGTACGGTTACCTGTCCGAGGTCACTGTTGGAAAAAAAAAGGGTTACACTAAATCCCTTTTAATGGGATTAAATAAATTTATATAAAATATGTTAATTAAACTGGCCCGCCTTTTCCCTCCAGGGCACACGCTTTAATTCTTGGAAACCGTCAGCAGCAAAGGTGAAAGGGATATTACCAAAAACGTGCTTCGCATGCGTAATGACCACAGCTAACGGTCCTCAGCACAGTCAGGAGGCTCACCAGCACGCTGCCTCCCAGACCCCACCGAGGCCAGAACTCCCAGAGGAAAAACCGGAGTCACTTGCAAGGCCAGG